TTATTGTTCGACATCGATAAGTAGGTAGAATAGTTCGGTAGAAAATATTATTGTCATCAGTCGCTTTACCATTTTAGAGTGAATCCATAGTTGTAATATGAATGAAAAGAAAGAGAAAGAATGACAGTGACAGAGACAGAGAGTGCGTGTGAATAATGTTGTCATTTTCTTTTACAGTTTTATTACTATACAATTACCGATTGCATGTAAAAGTACTTAAACATACTTCTTGTCTCTCATGTGCTTACACCGTATATTTCATTTTAAAATTAATCTTATCCATATAGAATAGATATGCAGGAAAATAAGTTCAAACATAAGTGAACATCAATAGAAACCATCTATGCATGCAACTAACTTTTCTAATGCGCAAAAAAGTCGTCTAACCTTAATTGAACAGCATGATCTAGTGGAAAAGATATTACATGTCGATCAGACCACACCCGAGAGAGATCTATAATTTTCATTAGATATACTGTCGTTGGTTCATTACAATGATAATGATGAATACAATTATAGTTGGAAAGAAATTACACGCAAGGGTGTTACAAGTGTGTTCACAAAAAAAAATATTTATCACATGTGACATCAGTCAAATTAGTTTTCGTACTACTCCCGTACTCGGCTGTTAATCGGATGCCGCAAGCAATAAAACGGATAGTCACAGAAAAGAAGAGAAAAGACTGAACGAGATCTTCTATAATAAGCTTGTTTCTGTTCGTTATAATAAAAAAAATGCTTCTCTATATCGTCTCATGTGCTAGAAATCTAATCAAATAGTTATATATCTTTATGGAAAATTTCTCGTCGTCTTTTAAAGCTTAAAAGCTTGTGCTAAATAGTTTCATTTTTAGGATACATGAGCTATTCTTTTATTATTTATTTATCGACAATAACACAGTTGTCTATAAATTTTTATAGATGTTTTTAAATCAATTTTAATTTATGTTTTATTTGCATCTATTAAAGAAAAAAGTTAAAAATAAAATTATTTCTTATAGAAATTATGTAAATAAAATGAAGAGAAATCTAAAGTAAAGATATAATTCTTTTTTGAGTAATGAAAATTTTCATCTTGTTGATTTTGCATGCTTCTTCAAGCAATCAAATAGAATACATAGAACAAGAAAAGGAAAATGTTAGCAGAGCGTGTCTAACGATTATGATTACGTGTGATAACACGTTGATCGTTGACAGGAAATTAGAGAAAGGGGATATATTCTATTAATAAAAAGACAATTGTTGAAATATGACCTTGTATGAAAATTGTCTATCTTAGTCCTTTAATAAATAAACAAAAAAAAGTGAATAGAAGTCCATTCTAATAATTGTCGAAAAAAGAAACGATTAGAACCATACTGCATGACTTTCTCGCGCCATTTAATTTAGTGACAACTGAATTGTTGAGCATGCTAACTTAGTCAATGTGATGTTAGCTGACAAGTCACATGAGAATAGTCTAACTTAGTTTCAATAATGACAAGGATGTTGATAAGTAAGATGAACTTCGTGAAAACTGACACATATAAGTTATTTCAATGGGAACAAAAACATCGACATATCATAGTAATATTATTGTATTAAATTGATTCAAGTATCCAATGAAATGCTCGTCTATATATTTTATCAATGTTTTCATTAACTACCAATTACACAAGAAAATCAATCATAGAAGAATATATTAAGATGAGCAAAAAAAAAATACGAAAATGAATATAGAAGTATCACATCATTCTTACTAATATGATGGATGTATTGTGCTAGTCATATGCTACGGATTAATAAGAACGCAGAAGTAATAGAAAAGAGAAAATTTTTTTTTTATCATATAGCAGACAAAACCTCAAAGAATTCTACAAGTCTCTATTCTAATTATAATAAAGTTAGAATCCAATCTCCAGTGACAAACATAATCAACAAGAAGATCCATCCTATTTTATTTCTGGAAATTTTTAAATTATTTGCTTTTTTTTTATTATCAGAATATCAAGTTGGTTTATTTCTTAATCAGTTTTGCTATTCAACATGAATTATCAATATAAATGCAAAACATGAATACAACACTTACACTTAAGAAGAAAAAATCTCTAATGATTTAATATACTGTTCAATTGTAATCTGTTTATATGTTTATTTTTGTAAAGATCCAATATTTACGTTTTAAAGGATGGTATCAGTCTTTCTAAACAAAATAACTGTATAATTTTTCTACATGATCTACCTTCAGATAACTTGTGACATTTTTTTATATAATTTGAATACGAACAAAATATGAAAAATTAGTAACAAAGACAATATGGCATATCTCAAACTGATGTCGATGCTGGACGATAAGGAAAGCCAAGTCATGCTTTTTATTCCTCGGATAACATACTCAAATAAATAATCATATATACGTGCCATTTCAAGTGCAGATGATTGTGCAAACTTGCAACCACCTGCATCCTGTTTGACATGAAACAAAGCGACCGACTAGGCTTTTCACGTGAATATTACCGAAAGCGCCGTATGTGTATATATTTGTTGGTGTGTATGATAAGAGAACATGATCATAAAGGAGAAACAGAGACGAGGAAAATCAGCATGAGACAGTCACTGTGCACGAACTAATCTGATTGACAACGGCGTCGGCTGGTATAAGACGAATCTCCTGTTGTTTGCTGCTTGTCGCCAAAAGTCGATGATGATGATGATAGGCGAGATAAAAAGGAACAAACGATGTTTTATGATTGTGTTTATGTGGTGCACCGATTCAAGAATGCATCAATCATAGGACGAATTATAAGTGGATCATCTCCAATTTCAATATGTTGTTACAAAATTGAATATGGCCTTGACTTAGAAAATAAAAAAAAGAAAAAGAAAGAACGCTTTTTTGTAATGATAAAGCAAATAAAATTGCATTGCCGCCTCAAAACAAGCACACTATACTATCATTTATTCGAATCATTGGATTGTTGTTGGTCGTCATTGAAATCGATCTCATTTCAAGCCTCAAGACTCGTTTGCTAGTAGGATGTAAGCGTGACTTTTTCATTCTTTATGATTCTATAACTCTTTTTTTTTCTTGCCCTGTATTATTCAATGTTGACAGTTGATCAGCACCATACGTATTGTTTGCCTCAAGCAGCACACAATAGGTTATATGAAAGCAAGAATTAGAGAGAAAGAAAGACAAAAACCAGAAAAAAAATGTTTTCGTCACTCAGATAGATATCAAATTCACTTTTGTTTTTCTTTATCGATCCATTAATATTTTGTCAACACATTCGAATCATGTACTTGATAAATAAATTCAACAGCTGGATGCAAATGAGAAATCAATTATTTGTTTTCCTAATAGAATATTTGTTAATCTATTTTATGTGGTCTCACACAAATAACTTGAACGAAAATTAAAAAAAGAACACATGAAAAAGGTCAGAACAAATATAAATTAATCAGTTTCTATCAACAATACTAGGAAAATGTATGCCAACGCATCGACCAATAAACATACAACAAAATCAATATATTTATATATATTTATTTATTTATTTTAATATTTAAAGAAAGACATTGAAATTGAGAACATAAATACATAGAAACAAAACAGAAACAAAACAAATATCTTACATTTAAAATTTTGTTGCACATATTACCTAATTGAATAATCAAAGGTCTTTTTTTTTCTCTGTTAAATATACAAACATTTAACGAAGTAGAGAAGAGAATCAAAAGGAAAACAAAAATCAAAGAAATTCGAATATTTAAATATGTGTTTTTTGTCGCTTTGACGTTGGAGATTCATCAGTAATGTGAAGTTCAATACCACTATCATATTCTGATGTCATAGACTAAATAAACATTTTTAGAAAAATAACAATGACTCATTCATAGAACAATATACATACATTAAAAACATTTGTTAAATATTCACAATGTTCACTTTTTGCTTGTAATTGTTCATTTTCTTTAGTTAATTCTTCGAGTAACTCATGAAGCTAGAAAAGTAAAAGAAAAATATTTTTTTATGCATAGTTTTTTTTTTATATTGTACTTGTCGATTTTCTCGTAATTCATCATCAAGTTTTATTCGAGCACGTTCAGCCAAAATTTTCCAATAACAATCAGATGCTCGATCTAGGATATCAAAGGTCAGATTTTTGTTATAATCAGGAGAAAGTTGAGATGCATAATAAAAGATAATGGAATCAATGTAAATAAACAAAAATTGAATGAGATCTTCTCATTGATTGCATCCGATTTATCAGCAGAGTCTGATAATTGGAATAATACAAAGTTGACCGAAGTTATTAACATATTGTAGATTGAATTTCTTTCAGCACGACATAATTATATTCTCAAAATAGTATTGCTAAGAACAAGATCTTATAAAAGTAATTGTAGATTATAGTCATGTTCTTATTTACCTTTAATAAATTTTTCAAAGTCATCATCATTCATATTTTTGCCTTGTATTAACATATCATCTAAATAATTTGGGGTATTGGTACATTTTGAGGATTTTTCAATTATATCTGTTTGTACACATATCGATTGTGTTGATTTAAATAAAGATGGTGAGTAATTTTCAATAGAACTTAATCGAAAAATTTTTTTTTTTGACGGAGATAATGATGCTGGTTTTTTTAACATGATTATTGATAATAATAAAAAATACAAAATCTAAAAATTTTCTATTTATGATATATTTGGAAAAAAAATGGAATGACATGTTTTTTTAATAATAAAATTTACATGAGTGTAAAGCGAAATTACATATGCACCAGCAAACTTTGATAGATAAAAAAGAAAAAGAAAAACAGGAAAATCTTCATGTAAAAAAAAATCAAAGATGAAATAAACACACCTATTGAATGCATTCTCTTATTCAGAGTTAAATGAATAAATCTCTAAACACATACACCTGTTCTTTTATTTTTTTTTTTGATAAATAGAAGCAAAAGAAGAATGAGAAAGAAGAAGTTCCTAAATAAAAATCTTGACAATTTTTTGTTTTATTCAACTGGTCGTGTGCGATTAAGTGCTGATTGCAATTCACCTGTAAAATTAGCTTGTTGTAAACGAATACGACCTTGATAATTTTCCGAATTACGTAAACTATTTAATATATCTTTTGTTTTTCCAAAATAAATTGAATTAAGTGTTTGTCGAATTTTATTTTCCATTTCTTCAACCATTTTACCAATATTAATAATATGTTGTGAAAAATCTGTTATTTGATGATCAGATTCAAGTTGTCGTGTTAAACTTCCACCTAAATTCATCATGCCTGACATTGTTTTATGTGTTTGTAACCAAAGCATTACTGTTGATGTTAATTTATAATGTGCTGAACGACCACTTTGCTTTTCTTGTACTTCAACAACATGTATTGAATCCCAACAACCTTTGATTTTTTTACTACCATCACCAACTTTTTTTATAAGTATAACACCAGCAAAACCATTTTCCAGATCCCAAAAATAAACCGATGAAACACCACCTTCAAAATACATTTCACGATATTGTTCAAAAGCTTGATTAGCTTCAATTTCCAACTGACGAAGACGATCCGATGGAAGATTTCCTTAATAAAAATATTAAATTAATTTCTTTTTTCGCAGACGAAATTATTTTTATATATGTTCAAAAACAAATTCTCTCGATATTTATTAGTTTTTAGAGAAAAATAAAGAACAAACATTTTGATCTTCTATCTAATATAATCAATATGATTCAATCATTCAATTTAATACTAATCTATAGTTGAAGTGTTCTTATATTCTCATTTGCATTAAATCGGCATTAACAATAATCGGGAAATAAAGACAATAGAATATTTCTAGATCCTAGATATTCAAATTTTCTATTAATATTAAAATATAATCGAGAGTTTTTTTTTTATTTTCAAGTACTTAGCATAGAAACGTAATGAACTTTAAACTCATATCGTATATTGAATGAGAGAAGATTGTTTTTTTGTGCTATAATTACATTGTAAATCAGAAAAAGGAAACTATTGACTTATTCACATTTCTGATTTATGTGTTGGCCTTTTTTTTAAATTGAGTTATTGGATATCAATTTAGTAGAAAAAAAAAACGAAACGAAATATTAATGCTGAACCTCAATTTTTTAGAAAATATTTCGTATAAGTAAAGATTACAACACAAAATTCTGCAAAAAGGTGTTTTTTCCTTTAAACAAACCATCAAATGGTGGTGCATAAGTATTTGTCCATGGTGATCGATATGAATCGCCATCACGATTATAATCACATAATAGATAATCTTTTCCGACAGTTCGATCACGAACAACTTTAAGTGGTTGATCAACAGCAGCTAGAAGTTCTTCAGTTAAATCGGGTACAAGATCAATAAGATCCGAAAGATTTTTTTCCACTTGTTGTGGTGGTAGACGTCGCATTAAATCGAGTGCACAATCTAATTGTGACTCGATCGATGGATTTGTTGTTGTATTACTCGTCATCTGAAAATAAAATACATTTATATATACGCAACTCTCAAAAACCAAAAGTCTAAAAAAAAATATTTTTGAACAAAAAAGAAATTTTATTATATATAGAAAACGAGTATTTTTATATTAAAAAAATCATTCATTGGTTCACATTTGTTTTCCCTTTCTTACTGCCAAGCGTAAAACCCGATTTACCTAGAAACAAAAAGAAAAATTCAAACATAAATATAATTAATTATTTAATAAAATTTTTTGTGGTTTTTTTGTTCAACGCCTCAACCAAACATGCACAAATACTTTTGAAAGTCAGTCAGTCATAAAGCATCAGTCAAAAAGTAGCCATTCAAGAAGAGTTATTTCGTTTGTTTGTTGATCTCACACGAGCAAAAGAAAATATTCTGTGCGATATTAATCATCAAATTGTATGTGGGTGTAGTTTTTTTAAAAATATTTTCACAGGCATACACGGATGAACGACGTCGACGAAATAAACGTCGCACAAATTTGGTCCACTAAAGAGCAGAATGATGAGGAGACGTGCTTTTTTTAGAATTAATATGAATAACGTGTTTTGTAAATCAAATCTCAGATTTTGTTTTTTGTGTTCTTATAGATTATGTCTACCAGCACCAGTAATAAAAATGACAAATATATCTCTCATTCACTTACAGTATCGCTTATGCCTAGACGAGGTAATATATTACGTTCAGCAGCTTCTTTGATTGCTGCTATAGGTAATGAGATTTTTTTAATATGAACTTTGTCAATTATATTTAAATAAAAATTGACTTACTTTGTGGTTTATATAATTCTTTCATAAGAGCAGTGAATGCTTCAACCGTACGTGTACGATCATGAAGATTAACAAACCATACTCGATTACCCACTAACCATAAATAAAAAGAAAATAATTCATATAAATTTCAATAAAACTCACCAAAACATTTATCTTTAGCTGTCCATTGTTCTCCATCAGTTTGAGTAAAATTTGATCGACGTTCATCTGATACAATTTCATTACATAATACAAGTATTGGTAAAATCTTTGTAAACAAAAAAACAGCAATTCTTTTTTAAATGCTAAATTAAAAACTAATGAACTAGAATACAAACTTCTTTTTTATTTTTATCTGTCATTTTAGCTTCAATTATATCTTTAATAGCTTTACAACATTCAAAAGATTCATTTGAACGATTATCAAATACAAGAATAACAGCCTAAAACTAAATATATAAATAAAAAAAAACCAAACAACTATTAAATAATCAATAAACCCACATCGACAAGAGTCATTAAATGGCGTATATTTGAGAACTCTTCACCAGGAGAATTTTTCTAAAAACATATTTTGATAGAAATTGAAAGAAAACGAAAACAAACAAAAATTTTAAATTTCTTACCACACCACCAATATCATGTACACGAAGTACAATATCTTTCTCATTTAAACTATTATCATATTGTATACAATATGTATCTTCAATTGTTTCTCGATAGGACTAAATACAAAAACAAGATACAAACAAAATGATTTCAATAATATTAATAATCTCTAACTTTGTCTTCTATACGTCCATAAGCCAATTGTTCAATTAATGATGTTTTGCCAACAGCACTCTTACCCCAAACTAATACTTTAAATAATTTACCCATAATAATATCTTTTTTTATTTGAATAATCTCATTTTAAATCTAAAATAAACCATGTAAGAAAAATAAGACAAAACAGAATAATGTTGTGACCATTGCAGTGTGTGTTTTTTATTACAAATTCTAAGTTAAGTAATAAACAAATTCGAATGTATCTTTTCTGTCTTCTTGTTTTTTTTTATATTTACACGCACGAAAAACGAAGAAAAAAAAGAACCTAACAGAACGAAACAAAGCCTAGTTATAATGATTAATATCTTTTTCTTCTCACTATCTATATCGATGGTAAACAACGACAAAACAAGGAAAAAAAAAGAGAACAAAAAACGAAACGATACTCTACAAGAAACCGAAAAAGCATTTTTTTTTTTTATAAATTCGTTTCGGTCACTGTCCTGATGAGACATTTATATATATATATGTATACATATATACGACACAGAAAGTGAGAAATAAAAAAAAACAACGAAGAAAATAACAGTTTCCAATGGCTGATATGATCACATAAAGAAGGACGCTACATTCTTGCCTATATGCGTGTAAATTGAAAAGGAAACATTAGCAAAATAGATTGTTGATACATTTGTTTTGTTTTTTGTTGTTATTTGTTTATTTGTGATTCTTAGACATATTACGTAACACTTGTGATGGAACAAATTGAAGAGTTGATCCACCTGTCATACGAGGTGAACTCATTTGTTGTGGTGTTTGTGGTTGTGATGGTGGAGAATTATGAGATATATAAGGACTAGACATTGTATGAGAAGATTCCATGCGTATATTGTTCGGTTGGACTGGTGATTGCTGTTGTTGATATTGATATGGAGCCTGATTGAGTAAAGGTCCAATAGGAAAACCAGGATATGTATTTGGAGGAATTAAATCAAATGGTTGAAAAGGTGCGGCATTAGCAAATTCATTTGGTTTTGCAGACGTTTGGTTTGTATTAAATTGTTGATCAGATTGTTGAATCGCACGTTGAAGAATTGATAGAGGTGCTTGTTGTTGTTGGAATAATTGCGATTGTGATGGACTACTATATATTGATGATTGTTGTTCAGATTGAGAAGATAATAATGACGATGGCGGTGCACGTGACATATTTTCAATTGCTTGCGCAAAGACTAAAATGAAAAAAGAAAAATTTTCAAGATCAGTTTTTTTTACAAAATATTTATTTTTTCTTTTCGTTGCATTCTTTGATTCTTATCAGTTTTTAATAGCATTAAGACAAGAATGAATAAGTTACATACATGTATTTGAAGCCGGTTGACGTGTTGGAGTTTCCCATGTTTGTTGACGTGGCACAGGAAGATCAATAGATTGTTGTTGTTGTTGTTGCTGTGTTGGTAATGATGATGTTGGAATGGTTTTACATGGCTGTTGAACAGATGCAGACAGATCATTAGGTTTTTGTTGTACAATTGATAATGGTGGTGGTGGAATGGTATCCCATGGTTGTTGAACCATTGTTGATTGAGTATACGGCTGCTGTTCGATGAGATTTTGCATGTGTTTCGATTCTTGAATGGCACGCAATAATAAAGAATCTTGTCTTGGATTTGTAGAAAAAGCTGTCAAGGGTACTATTGGTTCACTTGCGATTGGTAAGGTTGTATTTGTTGGTGGAATATTTACTTCTGGGTCAGGAAGTTTTTCAACTGGTGGTGGAGGTAATAGAGAATTTTTTTGACATGGTGAAAGTAATGAGGAATTTGTTGTTGTTACTTGAGGCAATGTTGATTTGTCTGTTGATGTTGAAGATGTAGACTCTATTGTTGTTTGTTGTTTAATAGAATTAGTTGTTACTTCGACAAAATTAGGCTTTTCGTGTGTAGATGTTGTTGGTGGTGGTGCAGATTTTGGTATTGTTACTGTTGAATTATTATCATTTGGAGTTCGTTTAAGAATTCGAGTCGGTTGTTGTTGTTGTTGTTGCTGTTGTTGTCCTTGTGTTTGTCGAGATGTTGATGATTGTTCTAATAATCTTTTTTCCCAAACATTTTCAGCTGGCATTGATCGTTGTTGTTGATAGTTAGTTATTGAACGAATACGAAGTGAATGTGTATAATTAAGTAAATGATAAGAACGAACTTTAATTCGGCATTGTTGATTATTTTTACCAAGTAAAATAGCATCAAGACTATTTTTTGGTAAATGATCAAATAAAACTTCATAATATGTATCCAAATGTGTTTGACCAAGCATAACACCAATTATAGTACCACGGGTACCAAGTGGTACACCAGTACCAAGACGAACCGTAATAACACGATCATAAAGATCATAACGTGTTTCAATATCTGAATCACACATGCCACATGATTCACTCGGTGTAAATATACGATTTGCTTCAAGTGAAATTAATTTTGTTTTTTCATTAGAATTTTTTATTGGATGTTTCTATGAATTATTAAAAGAAAAACAAAGCTAAAAATAATAAAGAAGTTTTAATGAATAACAAAACCTACTGCATAGAATGCTTTTGTTAATCGATCAATTTCTTTAATAACGGGTGCATCAAGTACTTGCCAAGCACCATCCATAAGTGGCATTGAATATGTTGGTAAATTTTTAATCCATGTACGAACTTCTTGTAATCGAGACTTTCTAAAAAAATCGAATGATGACAATTTCTTTTATTAAACCGGACATGACCATCTGGAGTTCGCGTCCAGACCTCAACTAGTTTCATCACACTATCATAGAGCACACAAAATTAGATCAAACCACTCATCTTCCCGATATATTCTAGTGAAGACTAGTAGATTATGCTGAAAATATCTGCTAGTTAGGCCCAACTATTATTTATACAAGTAGACCATCATCGAAGTACATGTGAACACTTGGTTTGTTGTGGTCAAAATTAAAATTCAGTCAAATTTAAAATTTGTCTAGTCAAAATTGACATTTTGATTTAGTCTAGACAAGATTGAAATTTCATTTTCGTCCAATATAATCTCAGTCAAAATCAAAATTTTAATTTTGATTAGGCAAATTTTAAATTTGACTGAATTTTAATTTTGTCGGCAACATATATGTGAATACTAAATAGTATTGCATGATTTCAAACGCCTTAAAAATAGATAATAATAAGACTATGAAAAACAGACTAAGTAAAATATAGTTCAAACTAAAATGCTTTTCTGTTTGTTATTCTTGTAGTCAAATCTTTACATGTCTATGAAAAACAAATAATAACTTCGTGTGTTATATTTATTCTATCAAATGAGGTTTGCACGAACTCCAGCTGAACATCAAATGGTATTCGTATTAGTATTAAAGAAGGTATATAAGAATAATCCATTTTTTCATAAAGTTTAAAGCAGCTATTAAAAACATTAATAAATATTTTAAAACTTAGAATATTGTAATCAGTATTTATAGAATGATATTTATGATTTTGATATAATTAGTAACTATAGTCATTCCTACCTCAACCAACCTTAACTTTACGAAGCGTCTTATACGACAACGACGAAAAACATGATCTATTATCTATGGTTTCAAATTATTTTTTTTGTTGCGTACATTTCATATTATTTCTAACTTCAGACTTCAGAAATAAAGTGTATCAACAAGTATCATAAAAAACAAAAAGATTGTTGATCAGCGAAGTATTCAGAAAAATTTTGTAAATATGAATCAATCACATGCCTTATAAGTTATATAAGAAATAAGATTATTTCCATAAAATAATCCATGCTTACCCTTTTCTTGTTGGCCAAATATTCAATTCTGGGTATGTATCATCTTTTGGTTTTTTTACCAATTCAGCCATAATTTCAGGAAATCTAAGCGAAACGATTTTTATTAATATATTCGTATGTCAAAAACAGACAAAAAAATTACTAACTGTAACATATAATCTGAAATAATAAGTACTGCTGCATCAGAATAAAGCCATACTTGGTCTTCTTTTTTCGTGTAGCCATAGAGCTATGAAAAAAAAAGAAACAAATCATTACATATAATTTTACATTTTTTGTTTACTTGTTTAACAGGTTTATTTCCTTTCCATGAAAATCCAACATTAATTCGATTTATATTTTCACGTCGTCCTGTTCCACTTGTTACAATAATTGTTCCTGTTAATTTTGATATAACAAATGGCATTGTTTGTAAATATTCAGCAACTTGTTGTGCTGTCCAATAATTTAATTGTAAACGACTAAGTCTATTTGATAATGAATGTATATCAGGTTGATTTGTTATATCAGATGGTTCCATACGACATTCAACCATATATTTTCCATTATTATCTTTAGTTATCTGTTGTACAGAACCCATACATGAATAATATGGTGTTTGACAAGTAAATATTGGATCATTAATTTTAAAAAAGTCATGAATTGTTTGAGGAAATTGAAATAAATCATATTTATAATTTGGTATTGTAAATACTGTTGTTTGTAATGGATAAGCTAATGCTTGATTTGAAAAACACATTGTTGTTTGACATTTATCTGATGTTGATAAACATTTAGTCCGATAACCAATTAATGGACAAACATAAAGTAATAAAGGTATTGGTCCTATTTTAACACCTTGTCGATTCTCATATCGTCGATTAATATTAATTGCTTTTGTATATTCCATTTGTATTTGCATTGGATCTAATGAATATGTTTTACTTGCTATTATTTTACTATTTTCATCATTTATTTCAAATGGATAACGTGATACATAAATAGGTATTTGACTATAATTTTTATTATCTTGATTATCATCATTTGTTAATGGTCGAAAACTAAAATGTGAACCACCAGGAATATTTGACCATGTATAAAAATGTCGAAAATCACTTATAGCACAAACAATACCATAATCAAAATGTGGCCAATTAACAAAAACACGTTTACCAAGATAACGTTCAATTAATAAATGACGATTTATTAATTGACATGGTTGATTATTATCATTATCTTTTGGATCCCATTTATCATTATAGATTATACAATCTGTATCCGGTTGATGTGTTAAATTTAAAACAAGTGTTGTTG